AATCCGGGGTGGAAAGGAGGAGTGTGCTGTCACAGTATAGGGAGAGCAACTAGGGTCACATAACAATGTGTGTATAAATTTTTGTATGAGCAACTAACTTGAATTGTAAACTTTCACTTAAAGCACAGTTAAAAAAAATGACGTCTGGTTTAAGAAGAAGGAATAAGGAGTACGTGCAAACACTCAGTATCTAGAACTGGTTCACCTGGCAAACACAGAACAGGCTCTTCTTATCAGTGGTTCAGCTGAATTTATCAAAACATCTGGGTTTTCTGGATTAAAAAAAAAAAATGAGTCATGGATGATAGCTGCATTAGGATACTCTTCCTTCCCCTTCTCTCCTAGCTTCATCCACAGCTTGTGTAGGAGAAGTTTAGGTAGACATTGAGATCAGGAAGACAAATAAAACTGTACATTAAATATGACAGTGTCCTAAAAAAGCATTAAAATGTAAATATAGGAGCATTAAATTTTCCATGAAGGTAAGAAATAAACATAGATAAATGAAAGCAATTTCTATTATCATTTAAAGTAATACAGTAGTTTCAATCTTTATTCCCTTTTTACCTTAAAGTTGCTGAGAAAATATTTAACTGGTTAAGTTTCCAAAACTACACTTTTTTCACTGTTTTGAGTTGCCAGCAAAAGCTTTGAAATGACTCAAAAATGAGTAGGAGAAACAGGAAGGAGAAACCAGGTTTTAAAATAACTTATGAAATTTTCAGTGTCCCCTGCAGTGTTTTTTAAAATGAGACCTCTTTTCAGTTTTCTGTACTTACCAATATCCAGCCAAATAAAAAGAACATGTTGGGGTTCATCCTCTCCGAGGTAACAGCTGTGACTAGGGGGATACTAGATTTCTAATACAGAACTAGATTCTTTTTTGTGTTTCATGCAGTTTCTTCCTTCCATTCTGTGCTGAGATGTTGCCTATCTTAGAACACATTATTACTTAATTCTTATTTTTTTTACTTTTGCTTGTGTTATTCTATCTAAATATAGAATTTTCTCCATCCCCTCCCATGGTTCTCCAGCTTCTACAACTTGCTTATCCTACCACCTTCTGTAAATATTAACAACCTGCGGGCTGTCCTTATCATACCTTTCTGCAGAACATATAAACATATATGGGCCTACCTGCCTGCCTTCTTTCTTCTCTCCCTCCCTCTTTCCCCTCCTTTTTTTATTTTCTCAAACCAAATGGGATAAATAAATTATTTACACTTCTAGGCATCTCTATCTTACTTTTCTCATTAACACAAGACTGGAGGGATCTCTCCAGTCAACTGGTATAGATCTCACTCATTCTTTGTAGTGGCTGCCTAATATTCCATGGAGTCACCATGAGTCAGAATCCACTTCACAGCAACTGGTGGTGGTGGTAGAGTATTCCTTGGTTTGGAAGTCACACACTTTATTTCAGTTTCCCTAGTGAGGGGCATGTACTTTCTTTCCAGTTATTTTTGTTTTTAATTTGGACTCCAAAGGGTGCTGCATTGGACATTCTTATACCTACCCTTAAATACTGGTACTTTTATTTATATGGTCCAGGAGAGGGCTTAACTGGGTTAAAAATGTATGTGTAGTTTTAATTTTAATAGATGTTGCCAGAATATTTTCAAAATAATTATCCCAGCAATATCCTTAATACCCTTCTCCCATCCTGTCCAGTGTAGGTGTCTTCCTTATTTTGATAAGAATGGATTATGTGTAACATCGATTACCTAGCACAGGTGACCCCTAACATGCCACAGAGCATTTCCAGGGAGTTTAATACTAGGGCTCTGGTCAAGCTTATAAGTGGGAGGGAACTGGAGACCATTCTAATGCCCTCTGCTCTTTTCACAGATGAGGAAATTGAAATAGAGAGGTGGTGGGACTCACAGTGAGTTAGTTACTGGCCACTGCTACTGGAAAGCAGTCATTCTGAATCCTAATTTGGGGCTTTACCTGCTATATGGTGCTGATCCTATGCTGTGGGCTGTGCTGCCAGTTGAGTTAAAGAATGGGCCAAGAAACATCATCTGTGAGCTGAACTGACTTTTAGGGATGAACTGTTTCCAGTTTTCTATTATCTCCTGCTAAGACAAGCAAGCTTCCCAGCCTATACTGGGCTGTGTGGGATTCGCTTTGCAAACTTCTACAAAGATAATAGGAAATTCATTAACTTGGTCTTGTCAGTGGAATTTATTGCTGTTAATCTTTTAGGAGCTTGAGATTTTATTTTTCTGTACGGTCATATTTAATGCTTACCAAGTGTGCAGCAGTTGACTTGGATCACAACTAAAATGCTGACAGTGAGGCACAGGAGAGAAGTTTTTGTTTCAGGGATGATTTTCTGCCATGTACCCTTCCCTCCACTCTCCCCAACATACTGATAAAGAGAGCTAAGTAGTAAAACCAAACCAGTTGCCATTGAGTCAACTCTCACTTCTAGCGACCCTATAGGACAGACTAGAACTGCCACATAGGATTTCCTAGGTTGCTGTAATCTTTATGGGAGCAGATGGCCAGGTCTTTTCTACTGAGAGCTAAGTAGTAGGGGTACCAAAAAAAAAAAAAAAAAAATGTTCATATGGTGAGTCCTAGAAATTTGCTCTAAGCTTTTGGAAAAAAAAAAAAAAAAAGAATTTCTGTAGGTTCAAGTAATGTTTCTGGTGATGTAATCTCTAGGTGTAATATGCAGTTTGACAAGGGCTCATTTGTTTTTTTGTTTGTTTATGTTTTTTGTGCTTTAGATGAAGGTTTACTGAGCAAATTAACTTCTCATTAAAAAATGAATGCATATATTGTTTTGTGACATTGGTTGACAACCCCACGACATGTCAACACTCTTCTCAACCTTGGGTTCCCCATTACCAGCTTTCCTGTCCCCTCCTGCCATCTCATCCTTGCTCCTGGGCTGGTTACCCATTTAGTCTTGTTTTGTTTTACGGGCCTGTCTAATCCTTGGCTGAAAGGTGAACTTCAGGAGTGACTTCAGTACTAAGTTCAAAGGGCATCTGGGGGCCATAATCTTGGGGTTTCTCCAGTCCAGACCAGTAAGTCTGGTCTTTTTTTCTGAGTTAGAATTCGTTCTACATTTATATCCAGCTCTGTCTGGGACCCTCTATTGTGATCCCTGTCAGAGCAGTCAGTGGTGGTAGCGGGGGACCATCTAGTTGTATTGGATTCAATCTAGTGGAGACTGTGGTAGTTGTGGTCCATTAGTTCTTTGAACTAATCTTTCCCTTGTGTCTTTGGTTTTCTTCATTCTCCATTGCTCCAGATGGGATGGGACCAGTGGAGTATCTTAGATGGCCACTCATAAGCTTTCAGGACCCTAGATGTTACTCACCAAAGTAGGATGTAGAACATTTTCTTTATAAACTATGTTATGCCAGTTGAGCTAGATGTCCCCCGAGACCATGGTCCCAGCCTTCAGCCCAGTAATTCGACCCTTCAGGGAGTTTGGATGTGTCTGTGAAGCTTCCGTGACCTTGACAAGGGCTCATTTGGATGGTCTTTCCCCAAAACAGAAACCAAACCAGTTGCTGTTGAGTCGATTCCAACTCATGGCAACCTCATGTTTGTCAGAGTAGAACTGGGCTCCATAGGGTTTTCAGTGGCTGACTTTTTGGAAGTAGATTACCAGGTCTTCTGAGGCACTTCTGAGTGGGCTGGAACTGCCAGCCTTTCGGTTAGTAGCTGAGTATGTTAAGCATTTGCACCACCCAGGGATGGATAGTCTTTAGGGTTGAATTACATAGAAACTTTTTAAAGAAATGACTTGAGCTCTGAGTTTTAAACTCAGCTTTAATATTAAGGTTTCAGACTTAGACAGTGGATTCTGCTGTGGGAAACAAAAAGGGAGACTCCACCATTTGGGTTCCCATTTGGGTTCACTCTGTGTTCATTGCAGAGCATTTGATAGCTCAGCCCATTACCCTAATAATAATAATAAAAGTAATTACTATGGAGATTAATTATGTCATAGAAAATCATCTCAAGCTGATTAAATATATGTTTTTCATCTAACTAGAGGTTTACCATTTTTCAGACTTTGTCAGGAGCTGGTGGTTATTTGTTGGCTTGCTGATCAGTTGCTGGTTCTTCTAGTTTATAGTTCCCAGGCCTGCAGATTGGAATCACTGGGGAACTTTTAAAAATACTAATGCATGGCTCCTACCCCTGACTGAGTCAGAAACTCGGAGAAAGGGAACCAGAAATTGGAATGTTAAAGCTCCCCAGCTAACGCACAGCTAGGCTTAAACTCCTGGGTGGCCATTTGAGATGGAGAGAGTGTCTCTGCTTAATGCAGAAAGAAATAAGAGGTAACATGGGCTATTCTTTTTATAGTTCCTGCCACGATGGGGATCATCACGTCTACCCATTTTCTCTCATATTCCGCTTTCTCTTCTTCTCTTTCCTATTTATTCTGTGGATTAAAACAGTGGTGGTACAGCTTATAAAGTCAGTTCATGAGGCAAAAATTGAATGCTGTAAAAGTGATCGTTGAAAGTCTCCTAGAAAGGCACTGTGAGGTTTGGAAGCCAATACACTGTCTCTCGGTACACCTCTGGCATTGGAATAGATTACTGTTTCTTTGGCTAAAACTCTGATAAAATAATTAGCATTTGGGAGCCATTTTGAATGCAAAATAACTATCTTTAAATACTGAAATTGTACTCAGCTCGGGGAGATAGTCAGCTGTTCAAAGGACATGGGAATTGAGAGTGGCTTAGGGAACTGCAGAATCACATTTCTTATACTCAATTCTGAGGCAGACTCACATTGAGTGGAGTGTGGGCACAGTCATGGGTACCATTTAAATTGTGAATTGCTGTCTGCCTGTGTCATCTTTCAGGCACGTATATTTGAATTCGGGCAAATTAAATGTTAGATGTGCATATAGATATGATACCACATTATTTAATGTTCAAGAATTGAACGTTTTGGGGGGTCAAATTGTCCCTTCCTGAGTGTGTAGAATTCAACAGCACTTTCTTTCTTTCATCTAGCATTCCCATGGTTTGGCATGGATATCGGTGGAACACTGGTTAAGCTGGTCTACTTTGAACCGAAGGATATTACAGCCGAAGAGGAACAAGAGGAAGTAGAGAACCTGAAGAGCATCAGGAAGTACTTGACTTCTAATACCGCTTATGGGAGAACTGGGATCCGAGATGTCCACCTGGAACTGAAAAACCTGACCATGTGTGGGCGCAAAGGGAACCTGCATTTCATCCGCTTTCCCAGCTGTGCTATGCACAGATTCATTCAGATGGGCAGCGAGAAAAACTTCTCCAGCCTTCACACTACTCTCTGTGCCACGGGAGGTGGGGCTTTCAAGTTCGAAGAGGACTTCAGAATGGTATGTCGGGTTTGTCCTTATTAAAACAACAAAACCACCTCTCAGAGGGAAAAAGAAAACCTCTCACGTGTCCATACTCTGCACATCTCATACCTAAAAAGTAGTCCCTTGGTTCTTTGGATAAGTTTACTTCACCTCTCTATGCTTCAGTTTCCTTAACTGTGTGAAAATAAAAATGACTGCTACCTCATAGCTTGTTGTAGTAAAAACTAAATGAGATATATGCGCCAGGCACTTAGTAAGGGCTCAGTAAATATTTGCTAACATCATCATCATCGTTTTTGTTACAGTTACTACTATGTAATATACTAAAGACGAACCCGTTGCCACTCATAATGACCCTATAGGACAGAGTAGAACTGCCCCATAGGGTTTCTAAGGCTGTAAATCTTTATGAAAGCAGACTGCCACATCTTTCTTCCATGGAGAGTGGCTGTTAGGTTCTAACTGCCGACCTTACGGTTAGCACCCGAGCGCTTAACCACTGTGCCATCAGGACTCCTTCGCTAAAGACTAGATGGTATAAACCTTCTTCTGAAGTAGTTTTGTTAGAATTTTTCAGACTTTTACTACCTGTAAACCCGTTGATGTCGATTTCAACTCATAGCGACCCTATAGGGCAGGGTAGAGCTGTCCAAGGAGCAGCTAGTGGATTCCAACTGCCAACCTTTTGGTTAGCAGCTGAGCTCTTAACCAGTGCACCACCAGGGCTCCAACCCTTACTGCAGTTTCATGAAAAGCATAACCATTATACCAGTTTTATATATATATAGACTGAGGCCCACAGGAAGATTTTCTACAACTTCTAAAAATCTCTAGTTCTATCTACCCATTTGCTCTCGTAAGTATCCTTTTTGATTATGTCATTTAGAAGTTTCACTCATAAAAAATGAAATCTTTGGTGCCATTTGTAGGTGAATTCCTTTATTAATGAATACCATTTAGGAAGTATGGTTCTATAGAATAAAAATAATGCTGTATCCTGACTGGCAGTACGTACCTCTATGTTGCTCATTTAGATTCCACAAATTTGGCTAAATAGAAGATACGGATGAGTAATATACAGTCCAAAGCTTCTCTTTATATAGCAATCCCTTAGCATCTCTGTGTTCCCATTCCCCCATCTTTTACAGTCAAGGTAATAATCGAGATAATAATCTTTGTAATGTCGCACCTCATTTCATAGGGTTTTGTAAGAATACAGTAAAATAACAGATGTAGATGTAGTTTGGAAAATAAAGAGAGCTAGATAAACAGGTGGCTGGGTAGCGCTAATGGTTAAGCACTCAACTACTAGGTGGAAGGTTGGCGGTTCGAACCCACCCAGAGGCGCCTTGAAAGACAGTCCTGGTGATCTGCTTCTGAAAGGTCTCAGCTTTGAAAACCCTATGGAGCAGTTCTCTTCTGCACCCATGGATCGCCATGAGTCAGAATCTTCTCAACAGCAACTAACAACAACAAATAAACAGAAATGATCGAACATAGGAGAAGGATGGATTGGAAGTTTTAGAATTAGTCTTGCCCACTCCCAGTGCTGTAAGAGTCCCCTGGGGCTCTCAAGGACATCCCAAGTGGTTCTATTTTGTCATGGAACTAATGTAATACAGTCTTGTTATAAGGCCTGTCATTAATTTTATTTCTGGAATGCATTATTCCTGGTATTTAATAAATCTATAAATGCAAACTGTTTTATTTGTCTCATCTAAAGTAGCACCATTTAGCTTATTGACTGTAGCGAGTAGTTTCTTCAAAGCTGACGACAGAGTACTTGCGTGGTATCCTAGCTGGGGCTGCTCGTGCTCAGGTTTTGTCTTTTTCCTTCTGTGGCCCCTTTCCATACCCAGCAGTAGAGTTTGATGCTGCCACCTACTTCAGTGACCCATGGGGACTTTTGTCCCACCAAAGAGGTCCAAGGGTCAAAGAGTTTCAAAGCTGAGAAGGTTGAGATCCATAGGAGTTAAAATTAAATACATGATGGAAAATCATTGAACCTGAGTTCTAGTCCTGTCTCTGTATTTAACCAGCTGGGTGACTTTGGGTAAGACATGTCCCTCCTGTTGGCCCCAGTTTCATCATCTGCAAACAATAGTGGTCGAGTGGGAAGGGGAGGGAGGACTTCTAGGATTTCAGAACTAGATGTGATCTTTGGAGATCAGGAAGTATGGCATTCTTGTGCTACATGGATAAGGAAACTAAATCTTAAAGAGACTAAGAGGCTGTCAGAGTGCCTCCCGGGTAAGAGTTGGGACATCAGCTCAACTCTGAGTGACAAGAAAATGCTGACCAACCCCCAGTGCTGTGAGCCCCCTCCGTCCCTCAAGGACACCCATCTGGTCTATCTCTGTCAGGGAGCCTGAGTTGAGCCCAGGTGACCTGGAGGATTTAGGCGATCTCTGTGGTGCTCATCCCTCCCCTCAGGTAATGTATGTTCTGGGAGAAAGTTACTCAATATATGTTGGCCGTAAGCAAGTGTGTTTCTCAAGGTTCTGAACTGAGAAGGGTCATATCCTGTTAAAACTGAGATAAAGAAGTCGTTGCTTCTCCAGGCAGGCTAAGCTGTTGGAACTGAATGAATAGGCTGGAACCGGGAGCCAGTGCGAGTATTTGCCAAATAGCCTGGCCAGGGCAGCATACATCTGCAAAAGAAAAGTACACGAGATGTCTTCTGTTTCCACACTCAGTCTTGGCCAAAGTAAAGACAGAATTGAGGACAAATCTTTTCCCACAGCCTGTTTGTCAGTGATGTGCCCTTATCCTTGCAGAGTTTGTGAGGCTTTTTGAATGTGGAGTAGGTTTTATCATTCTCTTTCCTAAGCATTCATTTACTCACACAACAAATATTTATTGAGCTCCTACTATGTGCCAAGTACTATTATGAACAAAACAAAGCCCCTGTCCCCCCTAAGCTTATATTCTAGTGGGGGAAGACAGTCAATAATCGAATAAGCAAGTGAATGTAGAGTATATCAAATGATGAGAAATGTTATAGAGGGAAAAAAAGCAGGGCAAGGGGGATAGGAGTGCTGGGAGGGTCTGAGTGTGATGAAGTTACATTGAAGCAGAGACAGAAGTAATAGAGCAAACCATGCAGGTATCTGAGGAAGAGTATTTTCGGCAGAGCAAACAGTGCTAAGGCCCATAGGTGTCCTATAAACAAGCTTTTCTCTTTCCAGAATAGAAAATTGGTGGTGCTTACTTAGTGGTAAAGGATCAATATACACTACTGTATGTAAACAATCCAGCAAATAATAAAGCAGTGCATATACATACCTGTAAATTCCTGTTGTTATTGTATAAAATCACTGTTTTTGCTATAGTACCACTTTGCAGATATGAGTTTTAATAATCTGTCTGTGTGAGTAGGGCTAAGTAAAAGCTGCTCAGCAGACCCTGAATAATCACCAGTTGTTATGTCTGATAACTATATCCTTTCATATATGAAAAATGTACTTAAATCTTTAGATAATGATAACTAGTCTTCATACGATTTAGAATGTACAGGAAAGAACTATAAACCATGAGATAAGCATTAAATTAGACCCCTGTTAGAATACTTTCATTTGAACAAAAGCTGTACTTCTCTTCCTTCCTCCCTCTCTCCCTGTCTTCCTCCCTCCATCCTTCCCTCTCTCCTGCCCTTCCTCCTCCCTCGCTCCTCCCTCCCTCCCTCCATCCATCCATCTTTATGCTTTTAAATATTTTAGGACCACTATCACAACCAGATTTTTGACTGGTAAAAATTAGCCTTCAAAATCAATGATTTACCAAAACGGAACAAAAGAAAAACTTAATCTAACCACAAAAGATCTAAGAAATTGATAAACCAATGAAGAATCTTATCATTTAAAAAAACATGGTACCCCTGGCCATAGTATTCATCTCTTCAGGAGGGTGATGGTGCATGGCTGTGCACCAGGCACCTAGCACTATAGGTTTCAGTTAACTTTGCATTTATCCCCAGTCTATATCCTGTGGGTTTTGTTTTAAAGAACCTACCAGAATATTTAATGTACCAGTTGTAATATATTCATCCACAACTACACTCTTAACTTCAACAAGAGTGTTCTTAACAATGGAAATTTTCATAGAAAAAGTCATTCTTTCTGCCCACCTAGCTCTTCATTACAGCACATACTTTTTCCCTGTGAGTTTTGTTCAGCCCAAGGCTAATATTAATTAGAAATTGAAAGTGATTGTTTCAATTACTTTAATTAAAAAAAAAAAAAAGACCCTCTGAGCAAACAGGCTATAACAGCGATCTTTTTGGTTAGTTTGAGATTTAGGGCAGAGGAAAGGATTTTCTGATTGCTACCATCATATTTTTCAGGGTACAAGGACCTAGGGATTGGCTATCTTTATGCCAGAAATCTCCAAGGGAACAGCCTCAAAAGTTAAAATGGTGGAAAAAATCATCAGGAGGGGTAGGGTAATTGTGGATATGTGAAATCTCTAAATCTAAGTGGACCATTCAAGAAGATTCATTAGTTTGGTTCCTTCTGTTAAACCAGGGGCTGATTTGTGCAGGGACATAGGGTGTGGTAGACACTGACATTCTCCGCTTTGTTCTGGCTTGGCACTTTTTTTTTTTTTCTTTTTTTTTTATATTTTATTGTACTTCAGGTGAAGGCTTACAGAACAAATAGTTTCTCATGAAACAGTAGTACACACGTTGTTTTATGACAGTGGTTAACAACCCCACGACATATCAACCCTCTATCTTCTCAACCTTTTTTTTTTGGTAAAAATATACATAGCCAAAGATACACCGTTTCAAAAATTTCTACATGCACAGTTCAGTGACATTGACTACGCTCTTCCAATTGTGCTGTTATTCTCACTTAAGATGAAGGCTTACAGAAC